GCCTTGCATGCACCTGATCTCACCACATCTTGAATTTTAAAAATGGTTGAGAACGAATAATGCCTTGGTGTATGTATGGTTACACTTATTTCGCACCGCACATACCCAACTGTGCTATTCGAAGGTGTGGCGGAAGGGACAACAAACTAAACACAAAAAGCTGTTTTAAAGAAATTAATTTTGAATCTAGATTTAAAAGTGCATATAGGAAGGAAGAAGGTACCAGACGGCCGCAGAGGCGCATCTGAAAGCGCCACGCGATGCGGTGACCGTCTTTGTTCAACGACTGGCCAAAAAACGCCGCTGCGAGGATGACCGCAGTTCGCGCGATGGTGGTTTATGTTCCATGATGGCTGACCACAACAAATAACAGGTGCTGTCGGCATGTGGTGGGCAGGAGAGTGCAGTGTGCTCGTACACCTGTGCTCCCCCGCCTTCACTAACCCCACGACGAGCAGCGTGGTGGTGACGTGTGGTCGACCTGCACAGCGTAGGGAGGCCCTCATCCAGTCGTGAATTGAGAAAGCGGCTGTATACACACATATCCTGCCAGAGAAGGCAACAAGGCCCTGCACTGCGCAATGTGGAATGGAAACATGGCCATGACCTATTTAGAGCAGTGTCGAGTACATTGGAAATGAATGTAGACGAGCATTGTCTGTGCTCTCCTGATGCCCCGAGCCCTTTCCTTCTGGGCACGGCGCACAATGGTTCATGCGGCATGGCATAAGAATAATATTTATAGAATGCGCTGAGCCTAAATTCCTTTCACTTGATATGCAATCATAATTAGTGAAAATTTTAACAATTCATATTTTAAAAAATCATGCTGCTGTGATTCAGATAGAGAACTCCAAAGTAGACCTGGTGGTTCACAAATTGGTTAAAATGGATCCCATGGCTGCAAAAGTATAAGCCATTTTAAATGGGGACCCAATTACAGCTACCCCACTGATTTCTAATGACTCACTTACTTTGTTCTCAACAGGTGATTGAATATTATTAAATATATGGTTCTTTATATTAGAAAAGAGAGTATGAAACAATGGATATTGGTAGGGGACAGGTATAGACTTTAAAATTGAAATGTTTTCTCCATATTTTGTTCATTATTTTCGTGGGGACCACCTTGTGAACATTATATGTTCACAAGGTGGCCAAGCCAACTACAAAAATGATCATCTCTATAAATTATATTATAGTAAATTGGTTTCACACAAGTTAGTTCATCTGCACCACTGATAATACCTTCATTCCGCAGTGGATTGACAGTAGGTCATATATTATTCGTATTATGTCCATTTTATTTACCGAAATACCCAAAGAATATGAATTCCTGCAGTCACGAAAGCTTTAAGTCAAGATTGACTGTTTCTTGTCAAGAAAAAATAAATGCAAAATGCACGAGCTATTCCATGCAATTGTAATCTATTACAGGGTGCCAGAGATAATCATTAATAATGTAAGGGTGTAATATTACCTGTGACTGTGCATGGTTTTTAATGTATTGACATTGTCGAGGAACAAACAACTTGGAAGCTTTCCCTTAGCAAGTATATTATAATTATTTTAAATCATGATTCCTGCTGTGCTTTCAAATTAAGACCTAATCATACCACAGGGAAAAAAATACACGGCTATGTTTCATGAGTGACAGTCTTGACTATATTTTAATTGGATAAAGATCAAATAAAAACAATCTCAATGGTCTCCTCATTAATAAAAAGTTATATAAGGGGAGAGCAGTGGTGCAAGGGGAGAGCCGTGGTGCAAATTGTTAGCGCACTGCACTGTTGAGGCTGGAAACCTGAGTTTAATTCCTCAGTCTCAGCTCACGTTCGCAGGAAATAATTTCTGAACCGTTCCCAGATAGCGACTGCTTCGCCAAGCTACACTTGACCAGCACGGTGAAATACGCTCAGACAACCACAACGATCGACATGGCGTGGGGATGCCTTCATTCGGCAGTGGATTGACTGTAGGTCATATATTATTCGTATTATTATTGTTTAATTATAGGCGGGCTTTCTAAACATATAAAACCAGGATCCAAAACACATGCATTAATAGCGTTGCTTTCATAAAAACAGTCATTAACAATAACTGTCTTTCGCCATGTATTCTCCATGAGTATAAATAAACCTAAAATCAATCTTGATTTGAAGTTTTCGTGACTGCAGGAATCTATACTCTTTGTTTCTTTCGGTAAAGTCACGTAGGTATAAAAAAAAATCACGACGTTTCGATCGCAACACAAGCAATCGTCATCAGGTAGAAAGATACAGCCGTAGAACTGCTGAACAAGAAAGGGCTGCTGAGGTGGGTGTCACCCAAGGGTAAGTAGGCGGGGTCAGAGATGCACCAAAGGAGAATTGGCATGCTAATGCACACGAGCACAATGAGCATTATCAACAGTCGCTCTTCGTTCATCGCGCTCACAAACAGCTGCATCCCAGTTACAAAATAAATCACCTGCAACTTGCATCATAGAGACGTAAGGGGGTCACGATGAATGGGAATGTCGGGATTCAAGCATCAAGCACTTTGCCACAGAAGTGCTCAACTTGTCTCTGAGGATATGGTGCGTGAGAGGCAAGCGTTACATCTGGTTCTGTTCAGATCACAGAGCTGGATCAGAGCTGGCAACTAGAACGGCAGCTTCCGGGCTTAAAGTATAGGTGCATGTAGAATACGCGAGGAATTCAATGCGAGAGATTTGCAACTTGGAAGTTCACAATCGAGCAATGCAAGGCTGTAGGTAAGATGCATTTTTTGTCTGTGTGTAGAACTTCTTTTGCACCTTACGTAGCCAACCGTACTATTCGGGGGTGCAGGGGAAGGACAACAAACTAAACTAATAAACAAGGAGAGTGGTTGTTGGATAATCCATCTGAGCTGCGAGGCTATTCACACAAGAAGCTGCTGGATGATGTTTTCTTCATGGCCAGCAGCAGCAGCTATTATCGATCCACTGCTGTATGAAGCACATCCCCACGCAATTGTGATTACTACGACAGTCTCGACAAGTTCGGTGGTATTGCAATGCACCTTACTCCTGCACAGGGACTAATTTGATCACTTATGTTGGGGACTAATTTGATCACTTATGTTGGGGACTAATCTGATCACTCCAGGGACTAATTTGATCACTGATGTTGTTCACGTTACAAGGGCGGTGGGCGTGGGCCTAGAGGTCGCACGTTTGCCGTTTGCTGCAGAAGTTCGCGGTTTAAATCCAGTGGCCGTCGAGATTATTACTGCTGCTGCTGCGGGTGTGAAAGCCACAGCGGACGTCAACGGCCCACTGGGGTCATTCACAGGAGTAGGCCATTGTATGCCTGACGTCAGTGTAGTTACTCAAGGTACTGAATTGGGATTATACACAGCAACCATTGGCCCCCTCTTGGCAGACTGGTGCCACAGGTCACTCTTGCAAATTAGGCTAATCCTACGCTGTTAAGTTCTCAGACTCTCAGGGTTAAGTTCTTGACAGCTTAAAACTATGCATTGATATATTCCGTTTTCCACCAATCAACGTCCACCAAGTGCCAAGATAGAATAATGTTAATGCTGTGTTTGGCAAATATGTTGTATATGACTTTTGTGTTGCTCATGCTCATCTGTCATCCAACTTTTCAGCCTTTTTTGAAAAAGATACCTTTATAGGTCATCGGATTCCTAGAGTATAAATAAATATTTTCCGATTTTGTTTTGCAGACAACACTGACACAAATCCTGTACTACAACTCACGTGACAAGAGATGCAATGCAGATTGTGCTCGATGATAATTATTAGGCCCGTTTGCACTTTACTTGTATCCACTCATACAAGAGGTGCACAGACTCTCAGGGTAAGCGCTGTGATTCAGGCCGGCACAACGCATGAGTAGGAGTGCGACAAGCTCCTCTATTCCTTGGCACTTTGCCTCCCCAATGTCAATACAATCGTATTGTACCAGGTACGCTTTTACGGCTGAGTTCACCGAGAGTAAGCCCAGGCAGTGTTCACTGATGTTGTTATTATAGGTTCAGAAATCAGCTCCAAAGAATTGACACTGGAGCTCAATACGCTAAATATGACCACTTCGCTTGTGCGTGCGCAGAGACACAAAGACAAAGATCCCCCGTGTAGCCTTAACAGACTGTTGGGGCAAGTGCTATTAGGGAGCACCTATGAAGGTCGGCACGGCAGATGAGGGAGTAGGTGACCAGCGCCACGCCCGACCGCCTTTGTCTCCCCAGTGGCCATGTTTACACATCGCACCAGGTACTCATTTGAGGCTGAGTCGACCTAGGGGATGCCCAGAACAGGTTCAAATAATCGTCACTGGTGTTGGCCGTGAGCGTGAATCGAACTCGAGTCGCTGGGTTCGTAACGCAGCTCGCTAACCACTACACTACCGCTCCCCACAAGAGACACACACACACACAAAGAGTATCGATTTTTTTAGGCCCTCTGTTTAAACTGCAAGCAGATGCTCCGTTGAGGGAGTTGTGTATTTGATGGCTTTGCGGATAAGCTCACAGTGTGCCATGATGATGTGTTCACACAGCATTGTTAAGACTTCTACAAGAGACACTTGTGAGCATAAGAGACCTTTGCATATGCTTCACAAAAGCCGATTAAACAACGTAACAACGAGCAAACAAGATCAGGACACTCTGCCCTCTCTACCTCCTTGCAAGGGCTCGTGTGCCATGTAAATAGTGAACCTACTTGCATAAATGGTTATGCATTGATAATTAACAATGGCTCACGATCATTCCGTCACTTGTTTTCGGGTCGCTCCGTGAGCTGTCCGGCGACACGTCTGACATTTCGCTCCGCACGACGGGATCTTCTTCGGTACACAATTCGTTCATGGGAAGGAAGTAGCTGCCCAGCACGTGGAGTGAAGCGTCAGCCACTGTGCCGAACAGCACGTGACCGCGACCCAAAAGCACGCCGGAGAGAGCTTACCCAGCACGCCCATGGAGGCCTAAACGGAAGCGTTGCTCACCATGCTACCTGGCGGTCCCCTTTCTCCCTCTGGGCCAGGCAGACCTTGTTCGCCCTGCGCGTCACAGGTCACCGGGGAAAAGGGAAGACGAAAAGGGATTAATCTCAACGTAGGGTTCACTCATTTCCTTCCTGAACAAACCGATCGATGCAATCATTAAACATCTCCGTTGTGGAGAAAAACACATTTTTTTAAACCTATCACATGGGCATGCTTTCTTAAGACAATCCTTAGATGAATGTCACCAATCTTAATCATTCGTACTTAAACATCCCATATAGATTGTATCCTGACAATAATTTCATTTAGAATGTCACTATAATGGTCAAAGTGACATCAATTGTTTGCTTATCTTCAAGTGGCATACCATAGGCTTATAGAGCCACTGTAAAGGGGCAGATTCGCCATTTAGCCACAAGTAAACATATTCGACAATGGACTGATCAATCGTTACACAAGCAATATGGTATGGGTAGTGTGATGCTACCAGTGTTACTAGAGTGGGAATATTCTCTTTTAGCGCCAGTCAAATATAACCTGTGGACTGTAAGTCACATCTTAGTTCGTACATTTAATTTGGTCATTCTCTTCGTCGAGTTGACTATATGTACTAGTAAAACATGTCTTCTTCTTCTCCTCTAAGTCATCAATTGTTGGCGTGAGTGGCACGTTATTTTTCCTGCCATATATTGTCTGGTGAGAAAATAACTTAACTTTGTAAAACATAGTTGTGTGTCCATATATAGCCAACTACCATGTTTGGTCTTTCTCCGCGCAACATTGTTTTTAATAACATTACAAAATTAGCTTAGTAAGTAAGGCATCTTTACTCAAGACGAAATAATGTTGTCTTGTCACTCTTTCGTCTTTGGTTGACAGTTGTAGTCATCGTCAAGCTTTGATTTCCATTCACTCATAGTCATGGTTGACTGAAATAAAAACAAAAAGGCCTTTTTTATTTAAAAAAAAATAGGAGATGGCTAGGATTCAAAGACCGTGGGGAAAAGAAAGAGAGAGAGAGAGGGGACTTGGAAAGCGTGATCCCAATGATTGGGACGAATGCTCGGAAATGGAAGAATGTTGACCAAAACGAGAACCGGACGCTGCACCACCAGCACCACCACGGCGGCACTACTGGCGGTACCTTGTGCCCCAGCGTCCCCATTTGTCCTTGAGATCCGGACGGTCCCTGCAATCAGTGACGAGAGGCACCTCCGATTAGCGCGGTTGGCTACGTAACGGTGCTAAAATAGCTCGACGTACATAGGAGAGGCGCGTGCTTTCACCCCAGTCTCCTTCAAATTAGAGTCACTGCCACACCCGAAGCAACCGTCGAACAAGAGGATTTGTGAAGGATAAAGGCTCATTGCTCAGGGGGTGACAGTGAAAAGCAAAACCTGTCCAATTTGCAATTGGAAGTGTCAAGGAATGTATCATTAATGTCATTGCAGCAATTCGCCTTCCATATATACAAATACCATTTGTTTGTGTTTGGTAAACAACAATACAAACTGGAGGAGAGTTAACTCTTTTTATAACCTTTTAACTCATTAAGTTCCAGACTATAAAGTAATTCAATTCAATTACAAAAATGCTATGATTGTCAGGCATGTAGGAATTGCTGAAATACATTTAAAAAAAATCATAATATGTACTCCCTTTGTGTATGAATTCGCAATAATTATCTTGCACCTAAATAATTTTCCTACTGAATCCAAACCATATTAATGAGTTTTTTTTTTATCAAGCTGCAACAAATTTCCACTTAAAGCTGTTTTGGCACGATGAAGTCAAGATATTTTAAGTTGAGCAAGATGTCCTGCCATTTCTGATTGTAATGTATGAAACACGTCTACTATTAACACCATTAATATAATTGCAACTTTGTTCATTTGGCATACATGTGATTAATTTATGAATGCAATGTAACAAATACCAAAGGAAATACTGTTGTACATTTTTGTCCGTCCAAACATTTTGTCTCCTTATAAGCTGTAGTTCATACACACATGCACACACGTCACAAAAGCCTGTGTTGTGTGTTGTTGAAGCATGCCGAACAACTGGCATAGATAAACTCTGGCTTAGCGTAGGTGTTATTTTTCCATCATTCGTCATCTGTGGGGAGAAGCGCACATGTGCAAAACATACAATGCTCGTGGTGCATAAAAACAAGTTAGGACTTGGGAGCTGAAACTGCAACTGACCTGTCTACCAACACAGGCCAGTTCCGAACTTTATGGCCAATTGCTTTTGGAATTCATTAAACGTAAGCGAAGGTGGATTTTTGTTGTTGTTGTTTAACAATATGGTCAAGCATTTCATCCCATATGTTTTTGAATGCTTGAATAAGTTGTGTCGACAGCAACTGCATCTCACCCTCCTTTAACGGAATAGGATATTGAAACTGTCAAAAAAGTCGAATGGCCATGAAAAGCCATTTCCCGTAAAATAACAATAACACATATCTTAAGGCATGCACATTCATACTGCAACTACACAATGGCAATTACAGGGAAAAGGAGAGAGAGAGAGAAAAATATAATTTTCCACCATCTGAAACTATTGTTTTAAGTTGTTACGCATTACTTAAAACTGACACAAGTGTGTTTTTTGTAGCCGTTCGAAATATTGTATGATTAGTTAAAGCCATTCAATCGTAATCCGATGAAACAATAGTGTTAAACAACATCAACGGAGTCGTGCGTGAGAAAACGGTTGGTTAAACAATCCGAACGATTTTATTTAAAAAAACAAAAAACATGATACGTGCCGACTCTCTCCACGAATTCCTGCACATTGCAGCTTTTTGAGGGGACTCAGTTGTTGAATCTCAACGTGAGAGCACGCTGAGATTCCCTTAACGCAATTGCACTTTTCACTGGCTGCTCTTGCCTCTGGAATTTACCTCTGCAGCATTCGAGAACGCATTGGAACAATTATTCTCCAATTATTTCAGTTTCTAGCAGAACTATTACGTAAATATATATTCAACAAAAAAACACATAATTGACTCGGCACATGGGGCTTTTGTTGAGGAAAATTTAACTGCATCTGACAATAAATAAAACGTTTGTATATATTGTATACAATGTTACAGTTTGCTTGATGATATCGTAATGTATGGACATGGATGGGCAATGATAACGATCATTAAACAATATTAAACACCTACATACCGCATATTCTGTACCCTGCAGTTTAAGGTGTGTTTTTGCATCTGTGATAAATCATACACTGTATGCTTTTATACAATGACCAGTTTGTGTTAGCAAGAAATAAAGCCATTTGTCCAGCTGTGTGTGCATGTATGTGTGTGGAAATGTATTTAACAAATGCAAAGAAAACAATAGCTGAACGAGTGTATTGGTATGCACGAAACATTAGACAATATTAATAGTTTGTTTACTATGTGTGTGCATTCGTATGCATCTAGAGGGGGTCTCCAGAGCTCATGCAAGTGGAGAGCTCTTCTGCTAACACGATGGCAGGGTGGTAACATTTGTGCCTCACAAGAAGGCTCTGGATTCAATTCCCAACTCGGGTGTCGTTCTATGTGGCCATTTGTTCTTCCTCTGTTCTGCACGAGTTTTCTCTGGATTCTCTGAGTTCTTCACATGGCTAATAAAAAATACGATATAACCGGTGCACAAAAAAAAACTACATCCCAATGCTTAAAATGTTACTCAATTGGAATTGCACAGCAGTAACAACGCCCCCTCACAGGGGAAACCTGGTAAGAACCATCTTGGAAAAGCATCTTGAGACTCAGTGGGGATTTCCTGGGTAAACAGGAATCGTAATAAATAGTCACGAATTAGCAACCGCGAGGCTGCATCTATATCTATACTCATGTCAATGTGCATTTATATTAAAGAGGGGAGATATATTATCGTAAGACACAAACGAGTGCAAATGTTTGCATGTAAACCCAAGAATGCATATGCACATTACCATGACAATTATAACTATTAGCATTTATTCGTGTGGAATTATAGTATATGGACAAATTCAATATTTGTTTATAAATACCATGTACTGTATATTGCAGAAAGCTTCAGGTGCACAGACAATGGCTTTTCACATTGTGTTTCAAAATGCTTTCCTGAATTGAAGTGCACAGGATGCAATATCATTATGAAAATGTTTCCCTGTCAAAACCAGCAGTCAGCGACCTTTAAAGTCGGCTAAAAGCAAAATTAATAATGTTCTTGATTGGTGCCTGTCTGCTGAATGTCACCCATTTTTTGTTTTCATCACATTTCACTACTTGATTTAACCTTCATATTTTGACCTTAAAAGTATTCATTGTTCGGCTATGTTGTATACGAACCCCCAGTAGCCAGAAAAAGAGATAAGGCAGAAATGGCCCAGTGCTTTAGTGAGCAGTATACAATAGCATGGGGGTGTTTAGGCATCCGAGTATATGTCAACCCAGTACCCAAGTCTCAATAAGGGCAGTTGTACGGCACAGAGTTCAATATTCCAAGGTTGCCATATAAATCATCCGAGACATCCACTGCATTGCGGTAAGGCCGTCCATGCACCGCGTTTGCGCGGAGGTTTTATATTTTTGTTTGCTCACTGTTATGATTGTAGATTTAACAGAGCAGGAACCAGCGGCAATATGAAGCGAAATATGACCATGCGGGCGTACTGCAATGCACGGTCACAAGCACAGTTCAAAGGGAAGGTGGTTACCGTTCTCCCAGGCTCGCCTCTCATTCCAGGATACCCCGGCGTTCCCGCTTCTCCCTGTTTGACAACAAACAATATCCAAATTCACATTCAGGATTTTTGTCCTGTTTTTTTTTATATCGGCACTCGCCGCCACATGTCTGCGCGTGTATAACAATGGTAGGGCAGCGTTTGAATGTGGTTTTTTTCACTTTCGCTATCAAAATGCAAATTGTGCTTGTTTTATATCCACATCCTTTCATGTTTTTTTCCTTGTGAGCCCAGTTTGTAATTGAGAAGGACTGCATTTGCAGCATGCTGAAATAAATGTCATAACGCCTTTGTGAGCAATAAAACATTGGCAGAGCTTTCTATTCTCACGGAAATAGCATTGCATAAACAAATGTCACGAAATATAATACGCAGGCTATTTACATGGTAAATACAGCTCAGCGCTGAAAAACAAAAATGACGTTAACATTTATTCAGTTGTAGTTCTTTGCCAACCTTGTTATGTTGCACTTACAAATATTTTTGGGCTTCATGAAACACTTTGGAAACAGTATTTTTATTTAAGGTAATTTTTTTGCTTGAAGACTTCACGAGCGTGCTGGCGTGCAGACAGTTCCATGGAGACAGTTCAACCGATTTACATAGTCATTTATGACGTGAAAGTTTGCCAAGTAAAAAATATATATATATCTCTCAAAGTCTTAAAAAGATATATTTTTTTCTGACAAAAAATTAGAGCAGTTTCAATGTATCATCATCATAATCTGAAATATTTCAACGTAATTGTCCCACATTTTTTAAAGGGCTTTATAGATTTGCTTTGGGATATGCAGAATGGCTTTGGTGCCATTCGGTCAACTCCAGTTATTGGGTGCTGAATGATGAGTGGGTGTGCGGGTGTGTGTGTGTTGGGGGGTGGCGATTTGGCAGGGGGTAACGCTGACGTGCGTGTGCAGGCGCGATAAGTGATTAGTAGCCACAAATCAAAGTGGTCAGGTGGAGAAAAATAATTTGTTGGGGGGCGCGCGGAGGGTGGCTGCCCCAGTGAGAGATTGCACTCTCATAGGCCTCCCTTGCCGTGAGTCACCGCGGCGGCGGGATCGCGGTGGTACTGCACAAAGCACTTAAATTGCCGGCCCCCACAGAAGAACCTCCCGGTTTCAACCTCGACCACAGCAATGGCTGCGTCGCATCGAAAAGCATCCGCACGCGTGCAGCCATCTCAGTCGTGCAGTCCGTCCGCTGAGGACGATGACCTCTCTTGCATTGGGGGTCCGGTGATCCTTCGACATTTTGTCACGGTTGCTACCTTTGGTTCCTGTGAGTTCGAATGCGACTTAGCGAGACGGACGTTTGAACGACACGCGCATCCTTCCACTGAGATCACACACGCACAGTGGGCTGAGGGTAATTCCTGAGATCGATCTTCTATGGTCGACACAGTAACCACCACTTCTTCAAGATGCCGTCTCTCAAGTAGCTGAGTAGCTTGAGCCAAGCCTGCGGCGCCATTGCTGCCTGAACTGAGACTTTCCCGTGAATCTACAGAATTTGCACATCTTCTCAAATTTAAGTGAAGTTATATTCTTAAAACGCAAAGGCTGACCTCCTTTACTTATTTTTGTTATTATTGTTAGTTTTAGCAGAGTAAAGCAAATCCTGCTGAGTTGCCAGAAAAATATTGGCATAGAGCGATTGCAACCATCTACGACACGGAGAGAAAGTGTCCCACGGTGCCTGCTGCGCTCACCAATCTCAACCACGCCGGGCTCGATCACAAACCTCGGCATGGACAAAAACACATTCCTGCGGAGGGAGCTGGTAGGAACGTTGGGTTGCTCGGTCAATGGCCAGGGTCAATGGCCAGGGTCAACGGCGGCGTGGTGTATTCCGCAAATATGCCCGACTGTGAGGGTGGGCACAAGCCAGCGTGAGTAGGTTAAACGTTGAGTTTTATAAGGGCACCACGGGGTGACCAGCCCCTCCCCTCCCCACCCAGCCCCACCCCTCCCATCCCCCACCCAGCCCCACCCTCCCCACCCTTCCCACCCAGCCCCTCCCCACCCTACCCACCCAGCCCCTCCCCACCCTCCCCACCCAGCCCCACCCTCCCCACCCATCCGCTCCCTCCCCACCCAGCCCCTCCCCACCCTCCCCTCTCCACCCAGCCCCACCCCTCCCATTTTTGTATACACGACGGACGGACGGACACAATAATCCCCTGTGGACTGGTGTAACCAGGAGGTTCCTACCAGTATTAACGTTGCTGATCAACTCCACCGCCATGTGAAGCGTCACAAAGTGGGCTCACGAGGGGGGAATGGCGCACGACTGCCCAAATGCAAATGCCCCCCCCCCCGCCCGCACCCCGCCGCGTGCCTACAAAACGTCGCGTAAACGCGTAAGGTCGGCAATTTATACTTCAATATACTGTTTCTCCGACGTGAACTTGCGGTCGTTGACTCTGCGATCGCCCTCTGATGCAATGTGACGCTCCATTTAGTGCAGAAGCTAAGGGGGTTAATTGTTAAACTGAAGAAAATAAAATGATATATTTGCCCACGGCATCGTGTGGACTGCTGTTGTTTGGCATTCACGGAATGTGCTCGAGTAGCGGTGGTAGGAAATTGGTGCCACTGAAGTCCCATGCAGTCAACGCCAATTATTTTCACTCAACTGCTTCTCACTTGTGTAACCCCGAATGCAAACAACCTCCTCCTCTCACAGCATCAACCGCACGTGTGGGTCTGTGCACACAAAATGTGTTGACAATATAAATGACTGCCGTGTAGACGAGACGCGATGTGAGACTAATTAAATGCATGAGCTCGTTTCCTTTCCTCCTCCGACATCAGTGACAAAGAGCTTGATAGCTCATCGGATTCCTCCAGTATAAATATGCTGACTCTGAAATCTACGTATGGACAACGATATCAAATATATTATTCTCACAAAGTTATCAAAAGACTGGTAAACATGTTAAGCTGACGTTTCTGCTCATTGTTATTGCTCTAAAGAAGTTCCATTGCCCCGAGAATGCTTATTGTTTGTGTGACATTATAAAGTGGTGGGTTTCTTTCATTGTAACAGGTATTTTAATACTGAGTGTCTCGACCACAATTAACAGAGCCACTGAGCTGGTATTTGAAGCCACAAAACCAAATGCTGTTATTCTGTAAAGATTTCACGTCACTGAGAAATGCAGTCCACCAGAATGGGTCACTGCCCACGGTGGTCAATGTTGACACAGCGAGATACAATCGAGGGCCGGGGATAAGGTTCTATGAGCAATAGCAGCTCTGACGGCTCCTACTTTATCTTGACTATTTATACATCAGTCACCAGCAGATTACAACCAATCATGGCACGAGCTGCTTGGGCCCAGCAGCATTTTATCCGCAAGACAATAGTTTGATCTCGATGACACGGGTGACCTTCTTTTGCTCTCCATAAATCTTAACGTTGTCGTCAGGTGCCTGAAGTAATAACTTTGGGGAAAATAAAAATAATTATAATAAATGATAATCTCACCTTAAGTCCATTGAGGCCTGGTAAACCATTCCGTCCATCTTCTCCTGGGTAGCCCTAGCAAGAATTCAACAACGAGTTATTGCAATATAAACCTACAGAGCAAGATTGTCAGCAACAACAACAACACAACTCAGACCTTAGTCACCATACAGCAAATGTTAGAACACATTTAGATATATAAAACCATCCCAAGTTGTGTGCCCGAGATAGGTCTATGGCTCAGGATCCCCCATCTCATCTGATGGCAGTTTCCCCGCACCGCCTCTTGTCACTGCTATCTATTACACATTCAACGGTGTTTATCGCTGGCCGCTTGGCATTTGTGGGACGTATGGGTCCTGCGCGCAGCAACTGCAATTCATGGAGAGAGAAAAAAAATCCTTAACACCACGCTCAATCCTCGGAATCTTGATCCATATCGAGAAAAGGAGAGGCGAGGTGGCACCCCCATTGCCTTCCTCAGCAATGTTTTTTTGTTTAAGTGATACCATTACTGGCTGCAATACAACGTCATATAGTATAATAAAAGAGAAATTTGAGAATATGTGTGTCTGTTCAAAATGTTTAGCGTACCTCCCGACATGCAACAAACTTGAAATTTGCCATGTGGGTACTTTCCAGACTGTACACCATGCAAAACATATTAAAATACACTTGTGTTTTTTTTGGGGGGGGGATCTCAATAATGCATATTTTTTGCACGGCAAGTGAGCTGTGACGTCACATCTGTCATATCACCCGCGCATGCGGAAGCGTAACGCAGTGTGCCTGCTGACGTCACGCATCCCCCCCACCAACCCTCCGCGGGCAAAGTGCCATACAAATGTGTTGCAGGTCTAAGGCGTTCTTAGCGCAGCATTGCTGCTTTATTATTTCAGTCGTTTAGTGCCGTACGCACCCTGAAAGTTGTGTGTGTCTGCAGCAAGCGCGAGTATGTGTACCTATGGACGCGCGCGTGTTTGTGTGTGGGGGGAGCGGTGGTGTAGTGGTTAGCGCGCTGCGCTACGAACCCGACGACCCGAGTTCGATTCCCGCTCACGGCCTCCCCTAGGTCGACTTAGCCTCAAACGAGTAACTGGTGTGGTGTGTGAACATCGCCACTGGGGAGACAAAGGTGGCTGGGCGTGGTGAATCCAAGTCCCGGGCGAAGCCGGGTAGTAAAGCTGGTATAGTATATGCGGAACATGTAAAGGCCATGCCACCTGCGTCACTAACAAGCTCATTTGATGTGCTGTAGACGAAATGGGCCAGTATACGATATGCCATACTTGCACTTTTCAGAACACCAAATATAAATACTGGCACTTTTCACAAGGGTTCCTAATCATATGCTGCGATGTATCTACAGAGGGGACAAGGCATTTAGCATGGGCTGAAAGCTGCTTGCGGGGAATTCACTAATGTAATCCAGTTTCATAGGAGATGGCTTGTAAAACACCATGCAGGTGTCATCTTTGACATCCAGAACTATAAGTGTTCTCAGTGGACGTGGCATTGAGTACGATCCGTTTCCATCGCTCACTATCTTGTGCTCGCCTCAGTGCATCCACCGCAGTCATCCGAAGCATCACTCTCGCACCTTCTACCCAGCCCATATTCTGCCATCCCTCTCCTGAATTTTCCATAAATCATCCTCTCCATCATATCTTTCTTTAGATGATGGCCTCTTGCTCCGTGTAGGTGCAAGAACGTGCAAATGATGGATGTACAAGACAACTTGCTCACCTTTGACCCTGGGAGACCTGTGAGGCCTGGACTGCCCTTTGAACCTGGTTCCCCCTGCACAGCAGAGGTAGCAGACAGCACTAAATTGCTTCACTGAAATAATAGCTTCTGGATTAATATCACCTTTGAGCATAACTAATCATGTAGACTTTACACTGTTTATAAGATGACATGTTATATCATTAGTCCGAAAGGCCAATCGGGAGGTGGGCTAAATAATATAACTGTCGTGACCAGAGATAAACAGAAGTACATTTATGTGTGTAGAACGAATGGAAGTATATTATATTAGCATATGTGTAATACCCATAATGCTCCACAACAGTGCAGAATGAAGGCAGTGATGATGCCAATCATTTTCTGGCAACTCAATAGTATTTGTTTTACAAGCTTCAGTCTGGTAAAAATAATAATAATACACTTTTTTTCCCCAGGAAAATGCCAATTATTTTACTAGGAAGGCCTTACAGAGCCTCAAGACTTTTTTACAGTTGACCCAAAGGTCTAGCAGGTAGAGAGTTTGCTTGCTGATACAAATTCTGCTGGATATCACGAATCGAGAAGGCTAGTTAGCTGAAGGGTGATCAAATGCAACTTTTTTTCGCGACGTGATGAACAGAAGTATGATTATGTAGATCTGACCATCTTCATCATTGAGCCGATGGTGACGTCACGTAAAGCTTAACAATCTATCGCAGAGGTCATCTGTTACGGTATTTCGTCCTTTGACAAAAACACGACGTGAGCACAAATCCTGCACCATTTAACGCGATTTGGCCAGGTGCAATCAATCAACACCACCGCCGTTCTGTACCAAAGAGGAAGAGCTTGAGGCATGAACAATCGTATGCTAACGTGACACTCCAGGCGTTGCAAAGTTTTCGATTCTCACCGACATTTAATTAAGGAGCTTAATGGTGCTCAAAAGACAAAACTCGCTGAGGTGCACTGCCCACTAGGCATGAATTATAAGCATCCTCTTAAGTCGCTGGATCCTCTACATAGGAGATGGCACTCCAGCATGATTTGCAGCATAATTAAAATTGACTCGTTTTAACATGGCGTGTTTGCCGGAATATATGACGGAACCTCCCTTTTTCACATTCACTTATTGCTAACCGTATTACAAACATTGGGTGCAGCGGGTTTTTATCAGTGGTCAGTGTACTGTGCAGTGCTGTGAACCTGGAGCAACCACAGTTCGATTCCTAGGCCACAGCTGAGATTAGTGGCAAGTGACATCACGAACTGGTCTTGGCTGCCTCTTCACCAACCTGCACTGACCAGGGTGGTGAGTTATGGTCGAAAAATCCATTCACAAAGGGGTTGCAATTGATCATTATTAAGAATATCTGTGGCGATTGGGTGAATGCGATTTCATAAAAAAAAAAGATTTGGAAATAATGTTCTGAGAATTATATAAATAAGCAGGGTAGACAGGGCAACTTTAATGATGATGATCAAATCCATCACGGAGCAAATGATGTGCATACTGCTGAACGAATACATTCTAAGGTCAAACTCATTACAAACAAAGTGCTTGAAACGAATGAACCACAATACCTCGCTGATCTCGTCAAGGAGCATGAACCATCACGTGAACTCTGGTCATCCTCACAGCGGCGGCTTTTGCTAAGCCATCAAACAAAGACGGCCACCGCATCGCGCGCTTTCAGATGCACTTCTGCGGCCACCTGGAACGCTCTTCCTTCCAATATTCGGAAGCCAGCGGGGCAATGCACTTTTCCATAATCTATATTGAAAACTCATCTTTTTTTTTACTGATTTTTGTGTTAAGTTTGTCCTTTCCATCGCACCTTCGATTAGCACGTTTGGCTACGTACGGTGCGAAATAAGTTCAACGTACATGCATACATACGTATGTGCGTTCGCAGTTGTGCATTATAGCTCCGCGGGTGTGCTCTCGGGTTGTGTTGGACATGATGCTCGACATCGCTCAGAACAACTTGTGCAACAACCCGAAAGCGCACGAGAGAGCTAATAACATGCAGACATACAGATAACATACAGACAGACAGATAACAGACAGACAGACAGATCAAAGACATACAGATAACATACAGACAGACAGATAACAGACATACAGACAGATAATATACAGACAGACAGATAACAGACAGACAGACAGATAACAGACAGACAGACAGATCAAAGACATACAGATAACATACAGACAGACAGATAACAGACATACAGACAGATAATATACAGACAGACAGATAACAGACAGACAGACAGATAACAGACAGACAGACAGATCAAAGACATACAGATAACATACAGACAGACAGATAACAGACATACAGACAGATAATATACAGACAGACAGATAACAGACATAAAGACAGATAATATACAGACAGACAGATAACAGACATACAGACAGATAATATACAGACAGACAGATAACAGACATACAGACAGATAATATACAGACAGACAGATAACAGACATACAGACAAATAATATACAGACAGACAGATAACAGACAGACAGACAGACAGATAACAGACAGACAGACAGATAACAGACAGACAGATAACATACAGACAGACACACCTTCCTCCCTGGCGGGCCTGCTACTCCAGGCTCGCCCACTGGGCCCTGCACACCCTGTCAGAACGCCCAACGGTTAGTATCTCAAAAGAAGCACCGAGAGGCAATCAATCATCAGAATCCATTCTGATAAGAGGAGAAGCAAACAGAATCTACAGAAGCAGAGGCGGCAGTATTGCAATTGCGCATCCCGAGATAACATTTAGAAACGTCGATGTTAAGCTGCTTAACGAGAACTGCTTGCTCAAATAATTACGTAAAATTACATAAACAAATATATTGTAGTCTTGATGCTCTTGCCATGAATTCATCATAACGTTTGCAGTGTTGTGAGACACGGTCCAATTGAAATGTTTTTTGCAAGTTGTACATAGCTTAACCACACATACGGCACAATCTACGACTGTGGCCAAAGTCATATATACATAGCACGTAAAAATGTGCCATATATACATGTCATAAGTCTGTGCATAGCATGTACAGACGTTTCGTACACTAAACGGCCTTGGGAGAAAAAACGCATTTGCAGGTATGCCACTGGAGAACATTCCTTAAAGTCCGGTTTTCACGTCCAATGGCATCTTTCGGCTTTCACTCCTCAAAACAATTGAGATCTCGTTCATGCATTGCTCAACATAATGCACGGGGCATTCCAGGCTCACGACAGCAGCCGTCAAAAGTGAAATGCAAAGGCGAAAGCCCTGCAATTGCTTACTCTCACCACTGCTGGCGGGAAGGGGCTTCCACGTTAGTGGAGGGCCAGAGCCCCCCCACTAAAAGGTGTTTTGCATACTCTTCCAAGCTGGTCAGACGTCTTAGAAGGGGTGGGAGTCCCCACGCTTTACCCCACCGCGCACAAACTGCCGGTCAACGAAATGTCACAGCAGCCATGAATGAAGTTCCTACGAATGATGAATTGCACCGTCCACCTTAATGATGGCAACATTCAAAACACGCTTCTCATTCTAAACATTAACCTCTGCTGCCTTCAAGTTTATTTTTCCTATGAATAATTGTCAACCTTACGATTTGCCACTGCCATCCGCAAAGCTTACACTTAAGACATAACTGTATCCAACCTAAAAGACCGTACTTTTAACACTATTTTTAACGTGAGCTATTACAAATCACAGTGCCTCTTCAAGCATGGCGGGTAGCAGTTCAAGAGTGTAAACACATTAACGAATATTAATTCATCTTCGGTCTACCAGAAACTTTGTCTGTGACAGTTTAGCCAACAGGGAATCATCCTCATGGCTCAGCACTGGGCTTACACGACCCCGGTAGCATTCAAGGAACTGAGTTATTTATTTTTAGATACGATTATGCAATTTTTTACAGAATCACCAAGCAAAGCTGAGCTCCCACAATCTATCTCATTGATTCATCATTCCCCCATTTGCCACCAGCTGGGCCCTTTAGCCGTGTCATAAAAAAAAATTGACTTTGCGTTGTCAGTTAATTATAACGTATCGTAAACATGACTGCAGATTATGCCCTAAGCGATTATGCGGGAATGCGGTGTAATGCTTAGGGATGTGGTTGCTGCCTTACCCTGTGTCCTTTGAGTCCAGCTGCCCCAGGGAGCCCGGGCCCCCCTCGACTGCCCTGGAATGTAAAGGTGCATTTTTATGAAAAAATAAGTTGAGACCTCCAAATCCCTTATACCACTCGCAAAACGTAAACTGTCTTCGCCGCCAGGAAATACACTTTTCAAGCAATAGGTTTAAACAAATGTCAATCAAAGCCCCCGTTAAATGTCACCTTGGAAGCACTCTCGCCTCCGTTGCAGGAATCTCCTTTAGGAGGAAGGTGACGGCATTTTAACATCACTCGAGAATATTTCAAATCTGCATGGAGGGTCTTGAAATGACAGGTTTTAAAATTAAAATTTTCATTATAAAAAAACAGACTAATGAGCGCTATTACTCGCTTCACAATTTGATTTCGCAACGGCGCGATGGCGGGTCACAGAAATATTCACTTCATGGGAATTTGTCGCAGCCACATCCTGCGGATTTTGACCGATGGCCCACGAATATGATTGCTGTGAAGGCTTTCACGTCAGTTAACCATAGGGGTGAGAGTCCTCGAGTTCCCTTCTTGTGTGAAACGAGGCACGTTCGTGTAAACCCACACCTGTGCTGCTACACAAGCCCCCCCCCCCCCCCCCGACGCGCAGGTGTGGGCTGCAGGGCGTGCGGGGGGGGGGGGGGGCATGCCGTGGCGGGTAGGGTTTGCTCTGCGGGTCTGGGTGGCCTCTGCGACAGCACCATCTTGATCATTATTTGAGAATGTTTCACGACCGAATGGGCTGCAAGAAGAATAGTATCATATATGCCACCGCGGGGTGTTTTTTGTAAGGTATGTGTGTGTGTATGTTGAACTTATTTCGCACCGTACGTAGCCAACCATGCTAATCGGAGAATCAGAGTGAACAGATGAGTAGTATGTATTTCATTATGCTAGGCACTACTGCAAATGAATTAAACAGTGCTTGACGTAGATTGTACATTTGCTAGCCATATAAATATTACCACGGGGATTATGACGAGAAGGAGGCTTACCGGGTCCCTCTTTTCTCCTTCCCTTTCCGAAATCCCACGAATCCCAATTAAAAGCCTCATTCCTTGACCATTATTAGAGAACGTTTCACGACCGAATGGGCTGCAACACAAATCGTAGTGTCTTGAATGACATCGTGTGGGGTTTGCACGGCTCGGTAAGCACAAGAGTTCACAGATGAGTAGACTTTTTTTTATTATGTAAGGCATTGCTACAAATTGATTCAACATTGCTATAACGTAGATTGTACATTTGTTAGCCATATACATATGACCACGGCGATTATGACGTGAAGGAGCCTTACCGGGTCTCCCTTTTCTCCTTCTCTTCCCGAAATCCCTCGAATCCCAAGGGGACCCTGACACGAGAGGAAACCGACACTTAGCGTAGAAGTGAGAAGCCCACACGCTCATCGCTAACACTTGGTCATTAACTCATTTCTTTAGAACTGCTTTTTGTGTTTAGTGTTTTGTCCTTCCCCCGCACCTCTGATTAGCACGGTTGGCTACACATGGTGTGAAAGAAATTCAACATACATAACAGAAAAATTCATGAACTCGTATACGCTCAGCACCAAATAAATATTAAACTGGATCGATAAACATCTAACGATAAGTGTTTTTAAGCACCTATCAATAGGTGTAAACATTTCCCATTCAATATGGCTTGTATATTGTAAGCTGGCTATAAACACATTTCCCATATAAGTAACACGTGCTTACATTGCACTGGTGGAGGAAAAGTGAAGATAAACTTCTGATAAAAGCACACTTGGTCTTGTTTTCAAGCAGTGTGCGTGTATCCGGATTTTGCCAATACAAGTTACATCATAGAATGTTTTATTATTAAGTAAATGCCCTTTTTATGATAATGAATGTATAAAACACACTAACGGTAGTAACTGACTGATAAAATGTTATCATCGCTGAGACATGTGCTTAAATTGGAAAAGGTAAGAACTTCTATCCATTTTGGAGTCCTCTCTTGATGAAACTGTTAATATTAATTCTTCCAATACCTGGTACTCCAAATCATGTGGGAGCGTGTTTCATTTTATATATTACAAAGGATTTGAAACGGACACTTCCAAAGGCAAGTTATAGAAATACGTATAACTTAGTATTTTACATAACAGTCCCAGCTAACCTTCAGTGTAGCTTATGAAACCATAATCTGCAATGCACTTTTCAATCATCAGTACCAGGTACACATTATGTAAGTTGGTAATAAATGGGTATATGAACTAACGCCACAACAATGACACCTAATTTAATCACAACTTCATAAATTAAACGCAACATTTCCTCATTCGGCCAGAAAAAACGTGCCACATATTTTTTGCAACAGTGCGGATGCAATTCAAAACAAAGCAAAAAACTTACCTGGCCTAGAATGATACATATTTTCATATTAATATTTATAATTAAATACAGCAATTGGAGTTGGCACTTTCCAAAGCAAATGTAATTAAACAACACGGAGCTGTTGGAGATGAGAACAAGACTTTAATTGGCACCTGGGGCCCTTGAGGTCCTGTTGCCCCTGGGAAACCAGGCTCTCCACGTATGCCCTGTCATTTTGAAGATGACAAATAAACAAAGTGTAATTACATTTCAATTAAATGGTCGATGTGTGAATAAAAACAATCATAAATCCCAACCCCTGAAAAAAGAGTTCAATTGGATACAGTGCATTAGAAGCCATGTGCAGGTTCAAGACGAAATTAAAATGTAAGAAAAGTAAGTGGCTTTTAATGCATGCATGTATGTTGAACTTCCTTTGCACCGTACATAGGCAGTCGTATTAATCGGAAGTTTTGGGCAGGATATATTTCGCTGGAAGAGATGATGCAGGCCAAATGTCAAGAAGAGTCATGCAGTGGCAGCCAAGGATCGGAGAATGGAACGCATTCGAGGGGACCTCCACCGAGGAGACAGAGCAATGAAGTCGGCTCACATCACCGTACGAGGTGGATAACCGACAGTTGAATTTTGGGTCAGATTGCCATGCGAGTAAAATGCCAATGTGTCATACCACCCTCATGCACCCGACACAGCCAAATAACTAACAATGTAAATAGTCAGGTGGAGGACGGTGTACGACACACATTGGCATGCACCTCACACAATCTGACTAAAAAATGAATTATGAATCGGATCAGTCGTGAAGGTCTACGTGTTGAATTGACAAAGCGGATCGTTACATCGCAGAATCGTAAAATGATCACAGCGGCTCGGTAGGCCTTCATCCAGCAGTGGATTGATCATGGCCGATTATGATGATGAAGATGAAGATGATGAATCCAAGACCTTGGTACATGCGGTGCCGTGGAATGGCCTTTGTTGCGCTCGAGAAGCTACAGCTGTTCTCATGCAGCCTTGCAGGTGCGCGAGCCGTGTTTGGAGTGATGGATTTGTCACAAAGGGGAACATTTCATTGCGTACCACTACAGGAATTAAAACCAACGTCAGTACCGAATTAGTCAGCTTTTACGCAACAATCACTTTAATAGCGGTTCATGTAGGGTGCTAAATCATTTTCCCTTCATGAAAAATACTAAATGCGTTACTCACACGTGAGAGTGCTATGAAAATAAGTCTAGTTTGTTTTGCGAAATGTGTTAATATTTAAAATGGAAAATATTTGGTCGCTTTCCCGCAACATTATTCCAATTTGCGATTGCCAAAGCGAAAAGCGACAAATTGTTTGTTGCGAACTTTCACAAAGCAGCGCATAACAACATGTTAGAGAATGAACTGTGTAAGATGATATCCCAGAACGACATCTCAGAGGCATTAAGTGACCTCTTATATAGACTGTGTTTAACTTTTCGAACTTGAAATGTTTCCAAATTATGTGAAAACTTAATTTGACTTTATGGGAATTTTCTCTCACGGCAGTCATTGGTGACTATATTGAGAATACTTAGGAACCTGGTTGACCGCGGGTAGCTGCGTGGATTTGAACCCTGATTCTAAGCAGTGGCTGATCTTTGAACCACTGGACCACCTCTTGTGGGCATGCATATAGTTTTATGTGTAACATTGTTTTCAGATTTACAAAACATTAGGAATATATAAATATGATACAATGCTATAAATTGGATTCAGTTGAGAACATTTTAATATATGAACTATATTTACATACATTAATCAACCAAATCAGCTCCTAAAACAAATACAAATATAATGTGGATACATGTGATCTCAATCCATAATTACTTTTAATACACACCTTGATTTAAAATGCACGCTTTATATATAAATATATATCAAAAAAGGCTACATATTTTACAGCATTTATTTTTTCTGTTACATGAGCAAACGAGCTTCCGGTGTGCAGGAACACCTATAAGGGCCATGTGTATTTAATCACCAACTTCATCATAACATGAAATGTGTTGTGTCCACTTAAAGTGGCTTTTTGCTGATGCCACCTGCTGTAAAGAACTACCAGAATAATTAGACCATGGGCCAAAAGCATGAATTTCACTTGCGGTGGCTTAACCTCAGTGGTTCCAATTTCTCTATGTGGACAAATAACAATGCATTATGGGTGATAAACATATGAAATGTACGGGTTGTCAAGTAATTTTGAGCCAAAAAAACGAATAAAGTTGTGCTCTCTGACATGGTATTGATATCTGCTATGACCCATGGACAAAATTACATACATTACCACCATGGAAACGTATGTGTATATATATAACAACACATTCCAGGTTTTAAAAAATGACTCAAGTCATGAAAAACAGCCTCTTGCACTCAAAATGCACGATGGCAAAAACAAACTGCCAACACATCCAGGTTACAAATGAACAAAATCTCCTGCGCAGCATGAGTTTAAAATCCACTGCACGTGTTTATGTTGCAGTCACAACACAAGCGGTAAGAGGGTACACACGTGTACATGCAGCAATACGGAGGGGGAGTCTCCAGTGGAATTCACTCTTATAATAGTGGCCCACTGGGCTGGTCCATTAATCACACCTCTGTAGCATAAAGCATCGGTGTCACGAACAAACACCAACCTGGAGCTTTTCCAACAGCTGCTATGAGGATGTCATGTACACCAATCTTCGAGAATGACATTCGTCAGCTTCTAACTGTATGAACGGAGACCTATCTGAATTTGCCTCGTTTAATCAGATGTCAGATGCTAAGCAGGTTCGAGCTTGGTTATTACTTGAAAGAGTGGCAAGACTGGGGCTTCCGATGTGTAGTAGGTGTGGAACGAGGTGGCTCAAAGGAGATGACATTGTTGAGTCGTACTCACAAGCGTGCGAGAGTTTGTATAACACCAACTCAGATGCCTTCCTGTAGAGGATGAGTAATATCGCGCTACAACTGGGCATCGATAAAGATGCAGATACTTATTTTATTATGCATAGCCGCGAAGTTACTGAGGATTACTCCCTGAGCGCTCCTGTGGATTTCTAAACTCAAAACTCCACAGCCAACCAGCACGTCGGAAGTGACTTTGTGACTGCCCCACGTGACCCACTCTGACCTCTGTCACCACATGTGCCACTGGCGGGGCATTAGTGGCGTCATCATCATCATTGCCTGCGCCATGCTGCACGTCGTATTTATGGGGATTCCTACCTTTGGTAGGCAGAATGTCGGGGTGCCTACAATATTTCAAGGGGCCCGAATGATTGAGCAAAAAATAATAATTTATTACAATTTTTTGGTGATTGATTGACTTTATCAACTTGTGGTCCCATATACAATTCGTGCATAGACTGAGAGGCACAGGGCAGAACTAAATCTAATAACACCTTGTTTGCACACTTTGCTGGTCTTGATACCCAATTAGTCTTTCCTGTGTATATAATTGACATTAATAGCTTTATGCAATACAGTATTGGTTTTCTGGCTCATTGTGATAGCGTACAAGTATGTTACGTAATAATTTGCTTTGTTCATTGTTGAATGTTGTGTGCTATTTATATGAACACTGGCACTGCAATGAAGAGCCAACACAATCCATGTTACGCAAAGGAATTCAGAAATGCTGGCTTATTTTTTTATATCCCAAATTATAAAGCTGTCACCCATCTGCTGCACAATGTGAAAGATGTGACACTGCACGTGTCTGTGTCATAATATGCCAATAGTTTAATGAAGTCATTAATTTTAAATTTCAATAAAAAAACGCACAACTTCTGTATTATCAAACTCTAATAGCACACACACACACACTCGAAGAGGCTACCCTGTGTCAATGTAATAACTTGGCATTTCTGGGTGGAGAGGCACACAGAAAAAGAGATAAAGTATGTTGCTTATACTGCATTATACACACATTGAATTGATAAGGTAGACCTCGAGACAGATGATTGAGACGTTATGAGAAAAAGTTTGAAAAGTAGCTGTAACACGAACAACTGCATGATATACACTCACATATTATATAGTTTGTTCCCCGCTGATGCTTATTTTTTATCCAAGTAAAGCCAGCCAGGATTTACGATCACTATTGCTGACTGTGCTCTGCGTATGCAATTTATAATTTATACATTACTATTGATTTATGCGACACGCTTAATAAATCAAAATCGAGATCAAGATGTCACCATTGCTAAAGCCATGGATGCCATCACGTAGTCAAATAAATTAATTATCTTCTATTAATAAATACTACATATAGTGAACAACAGTTACAAAGTTAAGCTCGTGTTTGGCGACATGCTTTGAAGGCAAATATCGATTCACCTTGATTGGTGGCAATGAATTGTCACAATTTACAGTAGCAATTCTATTTACAGATCGATAATCATCTTTTTTTGTGGTGTATGTAGGGTCTCCCGTAGTTCCAGGGATTGCATTAACTAATTACATCCGGCGCATGCTTCACACATTATTTGTATGTGCGTGATTCAAAGCATACTCCATGTGTGTAAGAATCAAATGGCGCTACTTCACAGCTGAAGAAAGGCAGCCTTAGAGACGCAGAAGATTCGAAGCGCCATTGCCCAAAATATAGCCCTTTTTTATATATCTTTCCGCTCTAGGGCTCTGTGTTGTTGACAAATGAATTGAGTTCTTATTATTGTGCTTGTCCACCACCGCCAAGGCAATATTACAAATATCTACGGGACCCTTTTTGCCTGTGTCAAGATGATAAAAAGGCTTGCCCTTTCTGGCATAAATACATGTATTAACATCTTAACACCTGTATTTATTTATCAATAGTAGCATTTTTTTGTCTGATGCTCTACAGATACTGTCAACAACGTTTTACTTTTAAAAGCCACCACGACACGCAAGCCTGACCTACATGCAGCGGCCTTCATGCAAGCGCTCGAACGCCACTCTGTGCGCATCAGCGCCGTTTGTATCTTGTGTTTGTCTCTTGTGCGCCGGGCGCGGTGAGGCGCTGGCGGTGTGTGTCTCCCTGCACGGCACACTCACCGACTTGCCATCGGCACCGGGGTCTCCTCTCTCGCCCTTGTGCCCCTTGTGCCCCTGTCATGCAATGACACAGACACCCGGGCTCCAGCAGGGCACACTTCAGCAGCGAATCAATCAACAGCAAGCGCTTCCAACGAAAGCTTAACGTCTCATGTGACAGCTACAGCGAGTCTCTCTCTCTCGTCTTTTTCTGCTGTTGAAAAATAGAGGCATTGTTTTTCGGCGGTTTCTCATTTTGATAGGGGTGCCACTATGCTATGCTCAGGCAAGAGTGGATTTGACTGTGGTGAGAATGAAGACGTTAGGTTTGGAATAAAAAAGCAGCGTTATTCATTGCAGGAAGACACTCTCTCTCTGCAAACACAAATTAATGTGGTCGTGTGTAATGTATTCATTTTTTGAAGGACCGAGCCTTCGTCATTTATTTATTTTACTTAGTGCCCCAGCTGCACTTCAACACTTATGTGTTGTTTAAAAAAAGACACTCAAGGGGGTGACATTCTTTTTCACGAAATAATTGTGTACGTCATTTAAAAATAAACTCAAATCCCACACGAGTTCGATAGGAATTGTGAAAAATATTGTACGATATTGATTTTCTTTAAAATACTAATGTACGTTGAGTCAATGACTTTTTCAAGCACAGGTAGATACGTTCCGCGTTTATTCTATGGCATGAAACACTGCTGGTAAAAATTCTGGGGAATGATAATATGAAATAGCAATGAAAATATTTACGTTCGACATTTATTTTCAACTCTTTCGTTTTTTAAGTCAATTCACAATACAATGCTTTTAAAAAATGCATACAGTATCTAAATGCGACCACACCTCAAGATGCTGTACAGAAACATATCTATCCTACATAGACCGGGCAGTTAGTTTAACACGTAAGCTTTCGCGACCAATATCCATAAGAAGTTTTTATTACATTAGATTGCGTAAATATAAATGTGTCGTTAAACCCGACACCACCCAACACAGCCAATTAGTAAGGTTTGTCACGTAAACAAAACATGCCAATTAGTTACTAGTTCAGCACACCGGTGTGTTGGAGAGTAAGCCCACAACATTTACAATTCAAGTACGACGTGTCGTCGGTAATTGCAGTCAGTTATAGGCAGAAGAAAAATAAGGAAGGTCTTAAGGCTGGACATGGACAGGGGTTGGGGAGCTGATGGCGTGGATGGTTGGAGGAAGTGAGTTCTACATCTCAGGGGCAGCAGAGGAAATTATCGACCTGCCACTGATCAAAGATTGACTGTGGGCTTCAACAGAAGGCCTTGGTCACTGGAGCAGAGAGTGCACGGAGAGGAGGAGAGCGAGATAAGAGAACAGAGGGGGTAGGTGCAGAGGCCAGTCCATAGAAGATCTTGAAGACATTGAGTTCAATGTAACAAATTGATCCCAGGATTGGATTGTAGTTGAGAACTCTTCTTCTTGTGTAGGCTTTCTCAGCTGTGCTTTATAACGGTTGTGCCTTCGAGAAAATCAATTTAGCCCAGTTTGTGAATACGTTACGGAGCGAAGCGTCGGATAGCATGCCAGACAATGCACGGCACAACCCAAAGAAATCCACTCGAGCTCCTCCGCGATTGACAATAAGCGTGCAGCAATCCATAGCATCCCTACAGAACTTTCACAATTCATGCTTTTTTTTTTGTTACGTAAAACTTTTTAACGTTGTCTCACGTGCACAGGCAATCACCTTGAAGCCTCGCATGCCATACAGACCAGGACTCCCTGCCGGACATTGACACGGTTCAGGAAGTGTTCCCACCAATGCCTGGATTTCCTTGCACTGTCGTGGAGATAGGGTTCAGGTCACTGACTGCTGGCACACATTCACGTATTGCTTTTCTTATCACATTAAGAAGTAAAACAAAACAACAGCCATCACCAAACCCACACTGACCAGCGTGGTTGAAGTATGATAAACAAAACCCAATTGACTGACACAGAAATGGATTTACAAAGGTTGTTATTATATTTGTGTACACAACAATCTGATATGCTGTTTGCATGAAAGTTAAATGATCACATTTTTACCAAATTATTGCAGGAGTCACGTTCACAATGGTAGCTGCAAATTCCTCACGCATCAGCCTATTGTGGGAAATGAGGCTGGTTTCGATTCAACAAGGTCACACTTCACTGCATGGCTCTATCTGCAGTTAATGCACAGTTAATTTGGGTTATGTGGAGTGACAATGAAGGATAACACTATACAATCAACACGGGGATAAATCCAATTCGCTTAGAAAGTCGATGTCATTTAATTATTTTCCACAGAGGTTTGAAGCCGCCATTTTGTTGCCATTCCTTTATAAAGAGAATACAAGTTTGTTGAAAATGTAATTGAATAATAAAACGTGAGTTGGAGTTTCATAATAACCCCACCTTCGGTAAAAATGCGGCAAAAATATAAATCGGTACAAGTAATGAAAAGAGCTCACCCGTTCATCTTTCTGTGTGAGGGAGAAAGAAAATAAACAAAACATGCTGTGTTTGTTATTTTGTTGAAATACCATCTAAAAAAAGCATACGGTACAAGAAAAACCCATGGATGTAAGCTTTGTTTATGCAATGTTGCACAACCTGAGCCAACTTGAACCTGCATCACCTGTATTTTAAAAGTTGACATTTTGAAAGCCACAAACATATGTAAAAATATAAACTTTAAATGATTGCTGCTTACATCATGCAAATTGAAAGTGCCAGGGGAATTATAAATACAATACAAAATAATACTCACAACACCTCCAATCTCACAAGCGGTTTCTCTTTTGCTTTGTCCAGGGTCGCAATATATTCTAATTTTCTGGATTACAACCTAGATTCAAAAACATTTCATAAAGAACCTTATAAATTTATGATCACACAAAAATTTGGCAACAACATTCACCGTTTTTTCAAATCTTATGAATTGTAAATAATGCTTTGCTGCGTGACTCACCGGCGCTGTCGCTTCCTGCTGTGAATATTTAGCAATTTGGGTTTTTCCGTTGATAAAAATTGAAATTATATTATCCAAAATTGTATAGTCCACTTCTTCATCATCGATTACCAAAGTTGCAGATGTTTCTGTCACAACAATTCTAAGTTGATGCCACTTCTCATCGAACAATTTCTGGAAAGAAATAAAACCCCAAAATGAAATTGAAATTAAGTACGCTACGTATACACTAAACACATGAAGCTATTCTAAATAAATTAGTTTTAAAAAAGTGTGGTGAAGTATGGTCAAATTTCGATTTAAAGCTTTCGTGACTGCAGGGATTCATCTTCTTGGTTCTTTCGGTAAAGTCACGTAGAAGGGAAGTAATAAAATAATAAAAATAAAACATAATAAAACAATTGTTTTATTATGTTATTTGTTTTATTAAAATTGTTTTATTAAAAATTGTTTTATTAAAAATAAAACATAATAAAAAATTGTTTTATTATGTTTTATTTTTATTATTTTATTACTTCCCTTCTACGTGACTTTACCGAAAGAACCAAGAAGATGAAGTATGGTCAAATAACCTCTTCAAGCAGCGGTTTGACAACAGGGCTGTACATGTAGAGCACACACAGAAGCCTCCCGTTGCATTGTCAGAGCTTTTAGAAATTGGAAGGTCATATATTTGCAATGTCAACTTGAGATTATTCGTCATGGATTCACCCAACATAAATAAAGTGTGCGTATTGTGTTTAACGCCCCCAACACTTTGGAGTGCCTTTACTTTACAACTACGGTTCCACCTTAAAGCACGACTCGGGCAATAAAAACCAGAGTTCCATAACTTAAATGGCTCCAATTGTATCAATCCTGCACTGAATCACACAACTACTAAAAGTACTGCACTTGCTGTAATACTAATCTTTTTAACTACAAAGGTATGGAACTATTGTTGGTGTGGAGGCTGATTTATTACAGCAGCAAATGGTAAATAACTTCAATCAATTAGGTGGGATAGTTTTTCATCCGAAGCACGTTGTAAATTCTAGCATTTGCCAAACTCCATTTCTTCAGGTTTGCATTATTTGTCCATCAGCATTCACATGCAAGACACAGCAACGAGATGTCTGACAATCACTTGATGACGCTGGTTTTAACTACTGGCGAACCGTCGTACCAAATTATTACATTATACTTATGGCGGTACCCCGGGGGGGGCACCAAATAATACAAACTGGTCGAGGCATTTAAATATTTTATTTCTGGGAGGCTATTTTTTGCAGGGGTGTACTTAACTCCGCGACTGGGGTACCAATCAATCCGAAATCAGTGCTACTCCACGATGTCGAAACGCAGCGAGGACGATTGCGCCGAAACCCTGAACGCTCGCGGCACGCACCGTAGTGGTGGTGCATCGTAGTGTACAGCTCGTCGAGATGACCATCAACAGGCTAAAAATGACTGCATCACCGACATTATGTGAGAGCCGGGGTACTATGTGACCGCTGGGGGTAGCGCCATGAGGTTCAAATGTTGCTGATCGCTGTCCAGCACACGGTTGTTCGTGTGGCAACTGTATTGGTTGGGTGTGTCAGGTGGGGGAGGTTTTACAGCACACATTTTGATTTACGTGATTTGCCCCACAAACAAATTATGCGTAACAACTTTCTTTCAAATCATGATTGAAAACAAACCACAGTGTGGCCACAGCAGTGGTGACTGGAGTTTGGGAAGTGCTGCTGCAAACGCAAATCGTGCGTTTGCGCCTTGATTAATACTGGCGAAACCCTATTACCCAGAACTCCCGTGTCCCATGTTTCATGAACAGCAGTAGGGATGTGTGGGTACGTCCACCTCGTCCAAGACGTCTGGATCAGCGTGGAAGAGTAGACCAAATACCCTCGAGAGAGGCACTCTAGAGCTCCCTCTAGTGGAGGCCCCTCTGCTAGCTGTAGTACGAGCAAGCAAGCAATAGTTTATTATCCTCAACCTTATCCGAATCGATTCGAATTTTACGTGTAAAGAGCACCTTCACTCAAGGCGCTTAATCAGGAAATGACGCACTGTGGTTGACAGGGGCATGCTACAAGAATTGAGGAATGAGTGACCGCGATAGACGGGTACTTGGGGATCACGAAAAGGTAGGGAAGGGACGGGAAGGAGTGGAGGGGCGAGGGGAAAGGGAAGAGGAAGACAATGAATGGCCAGGTCACTTTTGAAACAAGAGGCTATTTAGCTCAGAGGGCCCTACCTGGTAAAAAGAGAGGAACGGATGGAGGTTAAGGCAGGGCACTGCTTCATGTACAGGGCAAGTTTATTCTAGTGGAGGGGTTCGGGAAGCAGTGCCAGATTATCCTAGTCGCAAAAGTAGCTACATATATAGTAGCTACGGGCCCCACACTTTCAAGGGCCCCGCGCTAAATGCTTTCAAGCTATCAATTCCGGTTCAGCGATGCTGCACTTGCTCTATTACTATAGGACTATACTGCCCTCAACTTTTATGAACGACTAGGTGTTTAAGGTTAGCGATTTGTCGTATTATCTGGCTGTATAGCAAATAAAACATACAATTACTTTACTACGCAAGTTAAACATTTGTTGTGATATTTACGTGTTTTTTGTTTATTTAGGGCCCCTTTATAACATATCCTACAAGCCCCGCACTACTTTAATCCGGCACTGGCGGCGAGAGAGAAGGACGGATAATAAAATAATCTATTTTTAATTTGACCAGGTAAGGCCCACTGATCTACGTGGCTCTTAGCTCAAACATGACGGGATCGGCATCGTTCGTCCCCCGCATCGCCGCGACTCCGTCACCTGCACGAGGGGGCCCACGAACTCCACGCTCTGCGCGGTGCGCAGGAGGCTCGTGGCGGCGAAGTGCACCGAGCGGCCCTCGCCGTCCATCGTGACGGCCACCTGCAGGGCGCCGTCGTGCGCCACGATGCGCCACAGGTCCCAGCGGCGCCGCGCCACGTCGCGGGGCATGCGGAACGTCGCCACGAAGACGTAGGACGGCGGCAGCCCCTCAGGAAACACCCCCCTGCACGCGCGGCGTCCTCACAATGAGGGTCTTCGCGGTGGCAAGGAGATGTCAATGATGATAGAGGCGGGGTTTATTGGGTTAGATCGCGTAAAATATATAAATGTGTCGTTAAACCCACCACCACCCGACAAAGCCAATAAGTAATGTTTGTCACGTAAACAGAACGTGCCAAGTAGTTACTAGTACAGCACACCGGTGTGTTGGAGAGCAAATCCCCAACATTAACAATTACTTAAATCCACAACATTTACAATTACTCAGATTTGATTTGATGCTTTCGTGACTGCAGGAATTACTCTTTGGTTATTTCGGTAAAGTCACGTAGAAAGAAAATAAGTTAAATAATAGAATACGACGTTTCGATTGCAACACAAACAGTCGTCATCAGGGAGAACTAAATGTGTTGTCTCTCTCTGCTTGTGTGTCTGTCTGTGTGTCTCTGTGTTGTCCCTTTCTCTCTGCTTGTGTGTCTGTCTGTGTGTCTTTGTGTTGACCCTTTCTCTCTGCTTGTGTGTCTGTCTGTGTGTCTCTGTGTTGTCCCTTTCTCTCTGCTTGTGTGTCTGTCTGTGTGTCTTTGTGTTGTCCCTTTCTCTCTGCTTGTGTGTCTGTCTGTGTGTCTGTGTTGTCCCTGTGTTGTCCCTTTCTCTCTGCTTGTGTGTCTGTCTGTGTGTCTCTGTGTTGTCCCTTTCTCTCTGCTTGTGTGTCTGTCTGTGTGTCTTTGTGTTGTCCCTTTCTCTCTGCTTGTGTGTCTGTCTGTGTGTCTGTGTTGTCCCTGTGTTGTCCCTTTCTCTCTGCTTGTGTGTCTGTCTGTGTGTCTCTGTGTTGTCCCTTTCTCTCTGCTTGTGTGTCTGTCTGTGTGTCTCTGTGTTGACCCTTTCTCTCTGCTTGTGTCTCTGTCTGTGTGTCTCTGTGTTGTCCCTTTCTCTCTGCTTGTGTGTCTGTCTGTGTGTCTCTGTGTTGTCCCTTTCTCTCTGCTTGTGTGTCTGTCTGTGTGTCTCTGTGTTGTCCCTTTCTCTCTGCCTGTGTCTCTGTCTGTGTGTCTCTGTGTTGTCCCTTTCTCTCTGCTTGTGTCTCTGTCTGTGTGTCTCTGTGTTGTCCCTTTCTCTCTGCTTGTGTGTCTGTCTGTGTGTCTCTGTGTTGTCTCTCTCTCTGCTTGTGTGTCTGTCTGTGTGTCTCTGTGTTCTCTATGGGGACCTCATTTGCCAGTAAAAATATGATAATTGGTTCTTTACCCTTCTATCTGGCAACAAAACTGACACCTTTTTGCAAGGAGTCATGTTTGCATAGACCGCAATACCTGCAGTCATAATACAAACAAAAGAACATAACTCTGATAATGTGCACTGTCCCTGAAGTTGATTGGTCCACACCCGAGACAGCTTTCCTTCGAGCCTAGTCTCATATGGGTTGGACCAGATGACGCCAAAAGGCGCACAACTCAAGGACAATGCACCATCAGAGTATGAGAGCTCGGGGCAAGCATCTACACTATGGGGACCTCATTTGCCAGTAAAAATATGATAATTGGTTCTTTACCCTTCTATCTGGCAACAAAACTGACACCTTTTTGCAAGGAGTTGTGCGCCTTTTGGCGTCATCTGGTCCAACCCATATGAGACTAGGCTCGAAGGAAAGCTGTCTCGGGTGTGGACCAATCAACTTCAGGGACAGTGCACATTATCAGAGTTATGTTCTTTTGTTTGTATTATGACTGCAGGTATTGCGGTCTATGCAAACATGACTCCTTGCAAAAAGGTGTCAGTTTTGTTGCCAGATAGAAGGGTAAAGAACCAATTATCATATTTTTACTGGCAAATGAGGTCCCCATAGTGTAGATGCTTGCCCCGAGCTCTCATACTCTGATGGTGCATTGTCCTTGAGTTGTGCGCCTTTTGGCGTCATCTGGTCCAACCCATATGAGACTAGGCTCGAAGGAAAGCTGTCTCGGGTGTGGACCAATCAACTTCAGGGACAGTGCACATTATCAGAGTTATGTTCTTTTGTTTGTATTATGACTGCAGGTATTGCGGTCTATGCAAACATGACTCCTTGCAAAAAGGTGTCAGTTTTGTTGCCAGATAGAAGGGTAAAGAACCAATTATCATATTTTTACTGGCAAATGAGGTCCCCATAGTGTAGATGCTTGCCCCGAGCTCTCATACTCTGATGGTGCATTGTCCTTGAGTTGTGCGCCTTTTGGCGTCATCTGGTCCAACCCATATGAGACTAGGCTCGAAGGAAAGCTGTCTCGGGTGTGGACCAATCAACTTCAGGGACAGTGCACATTATCAGAGTTATGTTCTTTTGTTTGTATTATGACTGCAGGTATTGCGGTCTATGCAAACATGACTCCTTGCAAAAAGGTGTCAGTTTTGTTGCCAGATAGAAGGGTAAAGAACCAATTATCATATTTTTACTGGCAAATGAGGTCCCCATAGTGTAGATGCTTGCCCCGAGCTCTCATACTCTGATGGTGCATTGTCCTTGAGTTGTGCGCCTTTTGGCGTCATCTGGTCCAACCCATATGAGACTAGGCTCGAAGGAAAGCTGTCTCGGGTGTGGACCAATCAACTTCAGGGACAGTGCACATTATCAGAGTTATGTTCTTTTGTTTGTATTATGACTGCAGGTATTGCGGTCTATGCAAACATGACTCCTTGCAAAAAGGTGTCAGTTTTGTTGCCAGATAGAAGGGTAAAGAACCAATTATCATATTTTTACTGGCAAATGAGGTCCCCATAGTGTAGATGCTTGCCCCGAGCTCTCATACTCTGATGGTGCATTGTCCTTGAGTTGTGCGCCTTTTGGCGTCATCTGGTCCAACCCATATGAGACTAGGCTCGAAGGAAAGCTGTCTCGGGTGTGGACCAATCAACTTCAGGGACAGTGCACATTATCAGAGTTATGTTCTTTTGTTTGTATTATGACTGCAGGTATTGCGGTCTATGCAAACATGACTCCTTGCAAAAAGGTGTCAGTTTTGTTGCCAGATAGAAGGGTAAAGAACCAATTATCATATTTTTACTGGCAAATGAGGTCCCCATAGTGTAGATGCTTGCCCCGAGCTCTCATACTCTGATGGTGCATTGTCCTTGAGTTGTGCGCCTTTTGGCGTCATCTGGTCCAACCCATATGAGACTAGGCTCGAAGGAAAGCTGTCTCGGGTGTGGACCAATCAACTTCAGGGACAGTGCACATTATCAGAGTTATGTTCTTTTGTTTGTATTATGACTGCAGGTATTGCGGTCTATGCAAACATGACTCCTTGCAAAAAGGTGTCAGTTTTGTTGCCAGATAGAAGGGTAAAGAACCAATTATCATATTTTTACTGGCAAATGAGGTCCCCATAGTGTAGATGCTTGCCCCGAGCTCTCAAACTCTGATGGTGCATTGTCCTTGAGTTGTGCGCCTTTTGGCGTCATCTGGTCCAACCCATATGAGACTAGGCTCGAAGGAAAGCTGTCTCGGGTGTGGACCAATCAACTTCAGGGACAGTGCACATTATCAGAGTTATGTTCTTTTGTTTGTATTATGACTGCAGGTATTGCGGTCTATGCAAACATGACTCCTTGCAAAAAGGTGTCAGTTTTGTTGCCAGATAGAAGGGAAAAGAACCAATTATCTGTCTCTGTGTTGTCTCTCTCTCTGCTTGTGTGTCTGTCTGTGTGTCTCTGTGTTGTCCCTTTCTCTCTGCTTGTGTCTCTGTCTGTGTGTCTCTGTGTTGTCCCTTTCTCTCTGCTTGTGTGTCTGTCTGTGTGTCTCTGTGTTGTCCCTTTCTCTCTGCCTGTGTCTCTGTCTGTGTGTCTCTGTGTTGTCCCTTTCTCTTTGCTTGTGTCTCTGTCTGTGTGTCTCTGTGTTGTCCCTTTCTCTCTGCTTGTGTGTCTGTCTGTGTCTCTGTGTTGTCCTTTCTCTCTGCTTGTGTGTCTGCTGTGTGTCTCTGTGTTGTCTCTCTCTCTCTCTCTGGGTGTGTGTCTGTCTGTGTGTCTCTGTGTTGTCCCTTTGTCTCTGCTTGTGTGTCTGTCTGTGTGTCTCTGTGTTGTCTCTCTCTCTGCTTGTGTGTCTGTCTGTGTGTCTCTGTGTTGTCCCTTTCTCTCTGCTTGTGTCTCTGTCTGTGTGTCTCTGTGTTGTCCCATTCTCTCTGCTTGTGTGTCTGTCTGTGTGTCTCTGTGTTGTCTCTTTGTCTCTGCTTGTGTGTCTGTCTGTGTGTCTCTGTGTTGTCCCTTTCTCTCTGCTTGTGTGTCTGTCTGTGTGTCTCTGTGTTGTCTCTTTGTCTCTGCTTGTGTGTCTGTCTGTGTGTCTCTGTGTTGTCCCTTTCTCTCTGCTTGTGTGTCTGTCTGTGTGTCTCTGTGTTGTTCCTTTTTATCTGCTTGTGTGTCTGTCTGTGTGTCTCTGTGTTGTCCCTTTCTCTCTGCTTGTGTGTCTGTCTGTGTGTCTCTGTGTTGTCCCTTTCTCTCTGCTTGTGTGTCTGTCTGTGTGTCTCTGTGTTGTCTCTTTGTCTCTGCTTGTGTGTCTGTCTGTGTGTCTCTGTGTTGTCCCTTTCTCTCTGCTTGTGTGTCTGTCTGTGTGTCTCTGTGTTGTCCCTTTCTCTCTGCTTGTGTGTCTGTCTGTGTGTCTCTGTGTTGTCCCTTTCTCTCTGCTTGTGTGTCTGTCTGTGTGTCTCTGTGTTGTCTCTTTTTCTCTGCTTGTGTGTCTGTCTGTGTGTCTCTGTGTTGACCCTTTCTCTCTGCTTGTGTGTCTGTCTGTGTGTCTCTGTGTTGTCCCTTTCTCTCTGCTTGTGTGTCTGTCTGTGTGTCTCTGTGTTGTCCCTTTCTCTCTGCTTGTGTGTCTGTCTGTGTGTCTCTGTGTTGTCCCTTTCTCTCTGCCTGTGTCTCTGTCTGTGTGTCTCTGTGTTGTCCCTTTCTCTCTGCTTGTGTCTCTGTCTGTGTGTCTCTGTGTTGTCCCTTTCTCTCTGCTTGTGTGTCTGTCTGTGTGTCTCTGTGTTGTCTCTCTCTCTGCTT